CATTACTAAAAACAGACAGCCCACTAATTGGGAAAGCATTTTCTCACACAAAAGTAGTGATAAAGGACTGATTACAAAAATATAAGGAGAACTGATGAAACTCAACAAAAATAAGGTAAACAACCCCATCAAAAAATGGGCAGAAGAGCTAAAAAGACACTTCTCCAATGAGGAAATGCAGATGGCCAACAAACATAGGAAAAAATGTTCAACATCACTTGTAATAAGGGAGATGCATATTAAACCACAATGAGATACCACCTCACCCCAGTGAGAATGACACATCTTCATCAATTAGCAACAACAAATGTTGGCGAGGATGTGGAGAAAAGGAACTCTCCTGCACTGCTGGTGGGAATACAAACTAGTACTACCATTATGGAAAACTGTTTGGAGGTTCCTCAAACTGCTAACATGGAGCTTCCCTACGACCCAGCAATCCCATTCCTAGGTATCTACCCAAAAGACACAAAAACACTGATTGAAAAAGATACCTGTACCCCCATGTTTATTGCTGCTTTATTTACAATTGGAAAAACATGGAAGCAGCCCAAATGCCCAAAAGTAGATGACTGGATTAAAAAGATGTGGTACATATATACAATGGAATATTACTCAGCAACCAAAAAAGAGAAACACATGTCTTTTGCAGCAACTTGGATGGAGCTGGAAAAGATCATGCTTAGTGAGATAAGCCAGAAAGAGAAAGAAAAATACCGGATGGTTTCACTCATAGCAGGAGTATAATGGACCAGGCAAGAAAATAAAAAAATAATGAACAACCATATACCAGAGACATTTTGCGGGGGTAGAGTGGGGAATGGGATCAAAAACAGGGGGGTGGGGAGGGATACACGGGATTATGGTGGTGGCACACGGGTAACTTGGTGATGGGAAATCCACAGGGATTACAATTGAGATGGGGGAAAAATGTACAAAATGATGTAAAAATAAACTTCTGTAAAATAAAAAAAAAGTGTGCTGGGATTCACTAATTGATATACACTATAAACGTTACTTATTTGCAGAACACCTCATACATTTGACCTGAGTGGCAGGTGCCTCTTCAGGGGGGTGGAGCTCATGAAGGCCCAGTCAAACCACATGGGGAGATTGTTGGGAGGGGGAAACCAACCCTTCCAAACTCACATGGACTGTGACAGAGAATGGATGTCAGAAAGAGAACCCATAAATATCCAGTTCACCTCAAGAAACTGCCTGGCAACTTTGAAAATGCCAGGCAAGAACCAAGTGTGAGAAAATGCCTAGCTGAACAGCCACCCCAAAACCCAAGAGTGTAATAAAACCCATGCTTTCTTGGATACCCAGAGGATGTTATGACAGAATATCGCACATAGCTAGAAATCACCTCCAAATCAAGGAGCTCTGGGCAAACTCACTCTCTTTGATAGACGACTACTCAGAAAGAGCACCCAAAAGGCTGCATCCCAGCTTCCTGTGGATGACAGGTCTGCCACAGTACTTCCCTCTTCTTTTAAACAGATCTCACTTTTGTCCCCTTGCTTCTGTTATGCTTTGTTAGACCACAGGTTTCCCTCCTTTGATAAAAGTCTGGCTTTCTGATAGTATCACTTAGGAACCAGGCCTGTAGTATAATAGAAAACCCTGCTGCCTTGGTTTAAACAGACGGGGGAGGTTTGTTTATCTTTCACAGAAGGAACACACAGGGAAGAGAGGTGGGAGTGGATAGTGCCCCAGAGGCAAGACCTGCTAAGGTGTGTTAGTAATCATTCTACCCCGATGCCCATATTATATCTCCATCTACTTATCAAATAAAAATATTCCTTTAAAAAGAGTTTCTAAAGACCTGTTAGGGTGACTGGACTATACTATAAGAAACACAGGCTGTACATTTCCTATTCAAAATCCTTAACATCTGTACTTTGTTCTCGGGCTAGCCCCTCACAGAGGCAATACGGCTAAGCTACCTCCTGCTTTATTTTCATGTTCAGCCAGATAGAAGGGAGAAAGGTCAAGGCTTTAAAACTTTTATTAATTTGAGGGTTTGCCTTTTTCATTTCAAAGTGCTAAAAGATACATTTTTAAAAGGATAAAAGCATATCTCATCCAATGACAAAATCAACATGCATCTAAGATTTTTTTTTTACTTGTTAACTAGTAAGATGTAAAAAACAACGCAAAGGAGAATTGTAAAGTACACACACACAGGGCATCATATCTACCTATGCAGGCAATCAGGATTACAAGAATAAATTTTTCCAGAGATGGTAAAATAATCAACAAAAAAATATTCAATTGTAACTGGACCAGGCATAATATATGTGCACTTCTATGGACAAGTCTCAACTGCATTACTGTCTTTCTACAGTTTACAAAATGGTAAAATAGCTCCAAGACAATGCAAGATGGAGATGCCCATTTAAAAATCTTCACAAAGTTCCCTAACAGAAGGGACACCCTTTGAAGTTACCCGCATCTTCATGGACCAGAATTCTGTCACATAGTCACTTTCTCTGCTAGGGAGGCTGGGGAGTCAAGTATCTTTTGCTTGACTCACTGCTATCTCAAGCAAAAGAAGACTCTTATTTAAGGGAATCCACCTCAACTATATGCCCACTTGGTGTGTCAAGGGTGCCAGATTATTTGGTAATTTTCAGCATGTGAGCATGAGGTTGGTTGCAGTGGCATTTGTTGTTTTGATACTTAAGCATCACTCCCTCTTCTGGTCATAGGATCTCAACCCCCTTAGAATTACCCCCACTCCTCCTAACCCGCTCCAAAGAACATTTAGCTCTGGACTTGTTAAGTTACAGTGATCAACTTAGGGAAAGACAAAACTGGAGCTCAGCCTGGCAGATCCAACCTTTGAATTTTCATTGGAACAAAACTGAAATTTACACTAGAAAATATTAAGACTTAAGCCTAAAAGGTGTTTAGTTCATTTCCTGAAAATATTTACTGTACAAGCAAATTCCCATGTCCCTTGCAACAAGCCCACTGCCTCTCTCAAAAGGCCAATGATTCCCTGGTGAAAAACCATCTGAATATTGATTTAATACGTTGTTTCTCTTCTTAGTATCTGAGAGCTGCCAGGCTGTGGTGTGTGCTGTGAAGGGCAGAACTGGGTCTGAATGCCAGTGGTGTCAGGCAGTATACCTGGGAAACAGAGCCCCACATAAGTACTTAGGGGGTAGGAGAATTGCTTCTAAAGGGTTGATTACACAGGAAATGGAATTGTTGCAGTTAAACAGAGGTGTGAGGCAACCTCCAGATAACCAACAAGAAGCCACCACTTCTAGGCCAGAGATATTCCAGAGAAGGGGTTATGTTATAGAAGCCCAGGGTCCAGGACCCCTTAAATGTAAAGGGAGGTGACCAAATAGAGAATGATGCTGAAGGAAGAATCAGCTCTGCCACAGACACTGCTCAAGTGGGAAGTGTTGGCTGGGAAGGGGGTTGCCTGTTTTATTGCTGTCCATTGCTGCCTTCCTGGGGCTGCTGACCTTTGCTGGAAGTTCAGCATCATGGAAGCCTGGAAATCCAAAGTGGGACAGGAAAAAGATGAGGAATAGAACTGAAGTTACTGAGATTTGTCCAGAGGGCTGACCACCTATCCATATTCCATCACCTCCAAGATGCCCTTGATGTAAAATGCACCACCAAGAAAGAAAAAAAATGTGTACTGCTAAAGGAAAAATGCCAGGTAAACAGTACCACAAAGCTGAGTCCATCCATTACAGTGCAACTTGTTATGTTAAAATGTGAAAATTACACACCTTAAACCAATAAAATGTGCGATTAGCTGTGTGATCTAAAATATATGATTAGCTGTGTGCATTTCATCAAGTCATATTCATTAAAGTAACAACTGGGCATTGAAGACAATACCTACTTCTTGAATTTTTTTTTGCAACAATGAAATCAGTGAACATGAAGACAGTTGAACCTAGTTGGGTGTAGGGTCTTGGTCAGGGTATCTGCGTGCTTTGCACAGTGCCTGATACATAATAGGAAAAAAAAATTGTGGAATTAAATCATCTGGACTCTGTCCCCCAACAGAACAGGTTTGGGGCACAGGACAGGAGATGGATAGGGACATTGTTATTGTTGGAATCAAGAGCTTTCCCTAAGGTCAAGCAGAATGGACTCTCTTGTGAGAGTCCTGCTCTTTCATTAGATCTCCAAGTGGAGGGCACAGTCGCTGATGAAAACGATTAAGCCAGGTGGCTTCACCAGGGGAAAACTGAAGGATGTGGTGGTGGGAAGAAAGTGGGTAGGGGAGGAGGGAAGCGAGGTGGAGGATGAAGCAAAACAGAGAAGAATCTCCATCGTGCTCGACAGTGCAACTTTTGGTCGGGATGTTGCTAGCCCTCCCGCGGCAACACTGTGTCATTATTCCCACTTTACAAATGGGAGTCGGGTAGAGAGTGGGCAGGGATTTTCCTAAAAGAAACAAGCAGATGGAGATAAAGCTCAGACGCCCAAGAGACCAGAGAGACTGATTCCAATTTGCAACACAAGGAAGGGTAGGTAAACACGCGGATGGCGATGCCCTCGAGAAGCCCGGGTACAGAGCTTATAGACGAAGAAAAACTTTATAGCGCCAATGGGACTTTCCAAGAAAATTTCAGCTAAGGTAGGGTCGGGTGTTAAATGAAAACAAACGCCCTTCCAGCTGCCATCATCCCACGGAAGAGTGACTTATCCAACAGACTGGAGGTTAGTCAGGAGTCCAGGATGCGCTTCAGACAGTGAGGCGACGTCCCTCGGCCTCATAAATACAGTCACTGCGGAATCGGCACGTGTCTACGCGTTTCCGACACGCGTCCTTTTCTGCGCGCGCACAACGCCCGGAGCCGCGCTTTCCCGCGGGTAATTAGCACCGCCTACCGGCGAGAGGCTTCCGACGGCCTGGCCAAACGCGCACGCGCCCTGAGTGCCCTCCTCCCTTACCCCTCCGGCCCGCCCTCGCCTCCAGGCTTCTCGCGACAGCCGCGCAGCAGCAACCTGACTCTCGCGATAAAAACTTGTTTTCTCGCGGGACCGCGGCTGGCAGACGCGCTCTCGGGCGGCCCTGGCCGGGGAAGAGGAATCGCATGTTTCGTTTCTGCTGGCGGTAGTGGTGGGAGCGGAGGCGGCGGGGGCTGTGCGACCGCCTGGGTAAAGACTCCTGTGGCTCTGCCCATTTCGACAGCTTGTAATTGAGCGTGAAGGAGGCCAAGATGCTGCCCGCCGGAAGGGGGCCGGGCCGGGCGACTCCACACCCCCGCCCACATGGGCCCTCGGATGTCCCCGGGATTGCCCCCTCGCGTCAGATCTCCCACCGCAGGCCTGGCCACCCGAGTCGTCTCAGCGCTCGTACACTGCCGCCTCATGGTTCTCCCATTTCCTCTCCCCAGGCTCTGGTCTCCCAGCCCC